TTATTGCATATGCTGTGTGTTGAGTTTTCACGAGGACTTTTAGACAAGATGGCGGAACCACGTTTATTCTTATTACTATTGACGCGTGATAACACAGGTATCCCAATACTCTGCAACTCCTCCCCCCTTAGCTACAYAACCATGGTTTTCCTAGTGAAAAAAATACATGAAAAACTCAACAATGTTCGGTATTAAGCGTTCTTATGCTCATCGTCCAGAACAGTCAAAGTCCTTGAACCTAGCTGGGGTCCTAATAACCCGACCAGAGCGAGTAGTCTTTAGACCTTCAGCTGCTTGACTCTGMTGCGGCCTAGGAGCATCAACGGGTTGACTGACATCCATGGTAGGATCAGCGGTTGATGGCGCTCCATCACCCTCAGCTGGGTAGTCAGTGCTGACCTTGACATCATGACCACTCAAGTTCACGGCGTCTGTGCTAGCCGGGGGCTCTTGCCTAGGTGACAACTGAGACTGATCACGACRCAGCTGTTCAAAATGTCTCCTCCACACTTTCTCCTGTGTATGGACTTTGTATAACACCGGCCCCACCTGCTCCAGAACAGTACCATGAACCCACTTGGGACCATCTTGATAGTTCCGAATCCAGACTCGGTCACCCTCGCGGAAAACCGAGAAAGGCCTAGTTTCATCTTGTAGGTTMTTTCCGTCTACAGTGCTCTTGACACTCGGTTTAAGGAGATCTAACCTGGTCCTTGGATTCCTCTGGAACAGCAACTGCGCTGGACTTATACCGGTTGTAGCATGTGGYGCAGTGCGATACGCCAGCAAGAACCGATCGATCTTGTGTTGAAGCGTTCTATTCRACTTATCTGCTTTCACTGCATGCTTAAAACTCTGGACTAGTCTCTCAGCCAGACCGTTGGTTGCTGGGTGGTAGGGCGCTCCTGTAACGTGACGGATTCCGTTCCCTTCTGTRAACTTCCTAAACTCTGCAGAAGTGAACTGCGGCCCGTTGTTRGACACTATTTGTTCTGGGAGACCCAGTCTAGCAAAAATTGAGCACAGAGCCTCCACAGTCCCTTCAGCAGTAGTGTTTTTCATGACCACTATTTCCGGCCATTTCGTATGGGCATCCACGCAGACTAGGAGCATTCTCCCCTGGAAAGGTCCCGCGAAGTCTATGTGGACTCGCTGCCAAGGTTGCGTGGGGAACTCCCAACGATGTTGGGGTGCAGATGATGGGCTTCTTGCCAGTTCTTGRCAGTCCTCGCACTGTCTCCCAACACGCTCGATGTCTTTATCGATGTTTGGCCACCACACGYGACCGCGGGCGAGGCCTTTCATTTTAACCACCCCGATATRTCCCTCGTGAARGGTTTGCAGAACCCTGTCTTGCAACTTCTTYGGAACAATAACTCTGGTTCCCCACATCAGGATCTCTCCGTGCAGTAAGGTTATTTCATCCTTGCGATAATCATAATGGGCGATTTCCGGAGTAATCGTATCTTCCTCCCATCCTTTCTGCACTGATTCGRGGACACGGGCCAGAACTGGATCTCTGCGAGTGTGTCTCTTCAGATCCTTCTCTTTCACTGGGAGATCTTCCACCACAGTCATGAAATAAACTTCGGTTTCAGCATGTTTGTCCTTAGGGCTTTCCGCCAGCGGTAGGCGAGAAAGTCCGTCACAGTTCGCGTGCTATTTGGTGTTTCGGTGTTGGATGGTGTACGTGAAGGCTCCCAGGAAAAGGCACCAGCGTTGCAGCCTTGCGGCAGCGGTAACTGGTACTGCCTTCGTATTATAATATATTACGTCCATAATATATTTCAGCGGCTTGTGGTCTGTTATTAGCTCGAAGCTCCTCCCTTCGAGGTATGTCTGGAACCTTTTCACTCCCCACACGATGGAATCTGCGAATACTTTTTTTCAGTGTTTGACAATGAACGAGAAGCGAACGCGATCGGCCTCTCGTTTCCATTCGGCATACGATGAGATAGGACAGCTCCGAGACCATACGATGAGATGTCGCTGGCCATAACTAGCGGGAGGTCGGGATCGTAGTGGGTTAGTACTTTGTCCTCCAGCAGCATCTTTTTAACAGACTCAAAGCAATCCGCTTCCTTCTTCKACCAGGTCCACTTAACATTCTTCTTAAGCAAATGATGAAGTGGCGCTAGGACCGTAGCGAGATCTGGTATGAACTTTGCATAGTACTGGACCATGCCTAGGAACGAGCGCAGCTGTGCTACGTCCTGGTTGCTGGCATCTCTACGATGGCTTTAGTCTTTTTTGGCGATTGGCGTAGACCYTCCGCAGAAATCACGTGACCCAGATACTCTTGGAGGAACTTGCATTTCCCTTTGTTGGCCTTTAGCCCATACTCCTCCAGCCTCTGCAACATCTTGTCCAGCACATCCAGGTGTTCTCTTTCAGACTTACCGGTCACTACGATATCATATAGGTAACACTGTACTCCTGGACGGCACTGTAATACCTGATCCATCGCTCTCTGCCAGATGGCAGGTGCCGAGGCCACACCGTACGGTAAGCGTTGGTATTGGAACAGCCCTCGGTGAGTATTGACGGTAAGGTAATGCTTGGACTGTTCATCAACCTCCATTTGGAGGTAGGCCTGGCGCAAATCAAGAGTGCTGAACTGTTTACCCCCACTAAGACTGGCGTAGATGTCTTCTATGCGTGGAAGGGGGTATTCGTCGATTTCTAGTTGCGGGTTAATTGTTACTTTAAAATCCCCGCATACCCTGACACTGCCGTCTTTCTTTACTGGAGTCACGATGGGCGCCGCCCATTCGCTATAATTCACCCCCACAATCACTCCCTCAGCCTCTAGCTCATCCAGGGCTTGTTCCACCTCCGGCTTGCGTGCTAGCGCTACGGGTCGAGGTTTCCAAAACTTGGGCCGTGCTTTTTATTTTAGCTCGATGTGCGCTTTGAAATTCTTCATTTTCCCAATACCCTCAGAGAAAACCACTTTGTGCTTATCGAGCACGTCGTCTAGGCTGCCTACCGTTCCCAGTTTTAACAGAGGCCAATTCAAGCGAATGCACTTTAGCCAGTCCCGGCCAAACAAGGTAGGTCCTCCCTTTTCGACAACATACAAAGGGAGAACATGTATCTGTTCCTGATACTGTACTTTTACTTTGGAGACCCCAACGGGTTTTACTACCTCCCCTGTATAAGTGCGTAACTGGAGGGTGGTACTCTTGGTGGACACGCCCTTTGTGGAAGGTTTCTTTACTTATCACCGACAAGGCTGACCCAGTATCAAGCTCCATTGATAACTCTTGACCTTCCACAAGTACCGTGACAATAATGGGTGATCTATCCCCTTTTGTAGATACGTGTTTCATGTCTCCAAAATCACTATCCGTCTCTTCTCCCTTCCCATCATCCTGCATGGTGTTCACAGGGGTCTTGCCTTTCTCTTCACCCCTCCTTTTCCTACAGACCTTTTTGATGTGCCCCACCTTCTTACATTAGTGACACTTTTCGTTAAGGAAAGGGCAACTTTTGGGGGCATGCTTCCCATCACAGCGATAGCAGTTCGCTTCGCTGGGCGCGGATGTCGGGTTGGGTTATTTGCTTGCTTGGGCTTTGGGCTGGGTTTTCCTTCCAGGTTTCTTTGCATGTAATTTATTTACTTGCTCTCTGGGGTCAACAGACCCGTTTGCATYGCCCTTCAATGCACTGACGTCTTTATTCGCTTGTTCGATCGCCAAGCATTTTCGCACTGCAACATCAAACGTGAGGTCTGAGAGCTTGACCTTGAGCAGCTCGCTTATCATCTTGGCGTCGCGAATTCTCGAGACCAATCTATCGCGAAGACGTTCGGCCCGCATCGCTTCATTAAACTTGCACTCGGTAGCTAAATGCTTCAGAACTGCGACATATTCATTGACTGACTCACCCAGTTTCCTGGCTCGATTGTCGAATTCATACCTGGCTACCAAGGCAGACTTTTGTGGTTTTAGCTGACCCGCAAGCCGCTCGACGATAACATCGTACGTAACTGAATCGCTTCTTAGTGTTTCTGGAGCCACTAAATCCTTTATAAGCTGGTATGTTTCCGTCGGAATATTTGTTAGGAGGTTAGCTTTCTTCCTATTTGCGTCCTTAATACCATTGGCCACGAAGTAAAAGTCTAGCTGTTCAGCATACGACTCCCAGTCGCTTCCAACAACATACTTCTGGACTTTCCCAACGGCTTGTATTGGACTCGCTTCATCCGGCATTTTCTCCCTTTTTTTCCTTACACACAACTTATATCCTGGAAGCTTTCAGCCAATTTTCCACTCCAGGGACTCTCTAGRATTGTTTTCCTGAGTTTAAGCGTGGAAAACATCCCGTACTCGTCGCCAATTTGTTGAGTTTTCACGAGGACTTTTAGACAAGATGGCGGAACCACGTTTATYCTTATTACTATTGACACGTGATAACACAGGTATCCCAATACTCTACACTATGTTACCTTACAACCCAGATATTAGACCACCCAGAGGTTTGAAAACATTTACTAAAGGTCTGGTAGAGCTTGGTATAAACAAGCATCTAATTGGTAACCAGAAAATAATGGTCGATCTTGTTGCTACGCAACCCGAAGATGAAGACGATGATGAAAGTGAGAATGAGAGTGAGGTCGAAAGTGGKTCAATAGATGATCAATCCGATGACCATGAAATGGATGAAGAACGACGGGAAGAGCAAAGCAGTGATGATGAAGAGAATGGACAGAAGGAAGAGCAAAGCATGGATGAAGAATCGAATTATGATGAAGACGAACAAAGAGAGTGTTTCGTTTGTCAAGAACCAGGACAGTTTCTCAAGATATCTATAATGCGGTGCCCAACTTGCTATTGGCATGAAGGACATATTATGAGTCATCTAAAACAAGCGGTTCGTTGTGACGTTTGTGCAAACGTGTTTCCTCTGAATCTGAGAAACACAAAGAGGTTTTATTGCTGTAATAACTGCAATTCGATTCACCAGATGTCGTTAAAATCAGGCAGGTTGAAACTTGTAGTGCCACGACAAGGAAGCCGAGAAATGGAAGGGGAGGAAAACTACGRAGCAGAGCTCGACTACGTTCCTTCCTTRACTCATTGGGAGGCTTACTRAGCTRTATCTAAGTTTGAAATTTATAAAATGAACAGTTAATCATTTTTCTCTTTTCCCGGCTGTCGTGACTGAATGCAAATAAAGAAGTTTGAGTCACTTTGGTTGTTTGACTTTATATATATATTTATTTATTTATTTATTTACTCAAATTCATAGTTCACATTTCTTCTCTTTTCCCGGCTGTCGTGACTGAATGCAAATAAAGAAGTTTGAGTCACTTTGGTTGTTTGACTTTATATATATATATATTTATTTATTTATTTACTCAAATTCATAGTTCACATTTCTAAAAGACTACAGCAAGTAAGAACCAGTCAAAATTCACTGAGCTTAACACACTTTTTTCACCTGAGTCTTGTTAACATGATATTTTTTACGAGGTTCGCGCCGAGACCTTAATTATTCAAATGTCGCACATTGTTGGTAATCCCTGCTATTGCTTATTTACAAAGTAAACAAAGGTTCGCATAATCCCTAGTCGAGACTGGAGTCGTAAACTTCCCTGAATCGCAAGACCAATAAAAGTGGTTGGAAATTTTAAGAAAACACAGATTAGAATCAAGTCAAAACAGATCAGTCTAGGAATAAACTTCGCTTGGAGTTCTTGCATGAATTTTGCTGTTGAAAAATAAACATCTAGAAATTTGCATATTGTATATTGACAGAGTGCAAATTTTTGGTTCCTAACGACTCGTCATTAAATCATTAAAAAAATGAAAGCCTTCAACGTGATCATGACTGTGAACTRCTTAACAAGCGTAKACATAAAYAGCTTGTTTCCATTTTATCTGCTGTTATCAATCTGAGMCGCTATCACCTACTGTTTACTTATCCACCGACCAAAGGTAATRTTCCACAAGAAACAATGACTACTTTACTCAAATCCTGTGAAATTTCAAGCTCAGATCGGATGAAACATTTGATCGAAGATGAATCTAACATGTAACTGACAAAGAATCTCCAAAACCGTTTACGGATACACGACATTATTGGAAGCTACCGTGACAAAGAATAAACACAAAGAAGCCTTTGGATCCAAACTTTGATGTGTACAAGATGTGTACCATGTTAACAAATGATGATGGTGATGATTGATGATGATTGGTGATGTCATGCACAATAGTAGAAACCCTAGCCAATCTCTGGGATGAAGAAGCAGTAGAGCGGGATATTGGGGTTGAGCACCGGGAAGGGGACTGGGATCGAACACTCCAACAATAGCTGGACGCCTTARCCAATGAGCGCCCGCGTGGAATGACCGGGAGGCAGATGGGGCTGAGCACCGGCGGTCCGAGTGGGGACTCGGATGGCGCAGAACTTTCATTTCCATACTACTTTCTTAACGGCCTCTGGCGCGACTGCAAAGAGTAAAAAGGTAAAAACAGCTATAATTCTCAACTGTGCTGGTCCTCAAGTGCTTGAAGTATACTATAATCTCACTTGGAATGAAGAAGAGGATGCAGACAAGCCCAATGAAATACTAAAAGCCTTGAAAAAGTACTGTAACCCAAGAGATAACGAAGTAATCGAGTCCCATAGATTCTGGAATATCCCCTACCAGGATCCATTCGACAACTTCTACACAGAGCTCCAAACAAGAGCAGCCTCCTGCAACTTTAAAGAGAGATACAGGATGATGAGAGACAAAATAGTGTTCACAATGACAGGTAAACTATAASAATTACTTTTGAGAGAGGATGRCCTAAYGCTAGAGAAAGCTYTTAAAGGGACTCTGAGGTGCCATACACATCATAGCTTAAAATGTACATCAAACCTTGTTGATTTTGAAAATCGAAATGAAAATTCCATGAAATRCGTTTTTGGGGGTGATATCKTCCGTCAAAGTTGCGAAATGACTTAAGCTAAGTCTTAAGACTTACTTTTTATTGTTGAACTAGAGGTTAATTAAGGGAGTGGATACAACATTAGGAAGCAGCCAACTACGTTGTACTAGACAGTGTTAAATCCTTTACACTATTTGGTACCACAATAATTAGCTGGTGTTCCCTTTSCCCCTCATCACGTGTGACTTTAAAATTGGACAAAAATTCATTGACTATTATAATTATTTTTTTAGCTGTTTTATTTTTTTTTAGATAGAGAGGTGGTGGCGTGAGCTTCATTATCGTTTAGAAAGGTTTTTTGGGGGGCAAATGTTAATGTTGCTTGAGCAAGGACATTATGACCCAGAAGACCAAATTAATAGGTAAGTCAACATTTATTTTTTTTTTGTTTTTTTTAAATTTTAAAGTACAATAACAAATGTTGATTTGTCTAAAACAAACAATCAACAGAAAGGATTAACAGTCATCTTTACCACTTTTGGCTGCCGCTCATAGCACCAGCCATTTACTACTGTGGGTCATATGTGAACTTAGTTCGTTTAGTTTGTTGTTCTCTTAAATATGCCATGAATGTTTTTTTCTCTGTTTTTTCTTTTTTTTTTCCTTGTATCTTGAGTCATTTATGCAAAATATTTAATGTAGTGGTAGTCTTGGAGTGCCAGCAGATGAAGGATTACTATATGTATAATGCTGATCTGAAAATATTAAATATATATAGGCACTGCCTAAAAGCGGAGCTCCCGATACGCAAGTCACAGGGAGCCCAATTTGAATGAATGTCGAAGATAAAATTAAAATCGGAAAAAAATCTTTTTTATTCAATATTAAGATAATGTCTCCCATGATAAAAACATGCACTGAAAACGAATCAAAATACACTACATCGCTTTCTTTGCGCGAGAATCCTCTCCCGATCCCACTTATACGAATTTTGTACACAACTCACCACCAACCCCATCAGGGGCTAGTTTTTTTTCTTGGAAGATTCTTCGACAAAGTTTTCCATGGCCGA